TGACATATTTACGTACTACTAGGCTCTAATGTGTATTGGTATTTGTTTTGTTCTCTCTGTCGTGTACTACTAGGATAACCAAGGATAACTGTGTATTGATATTTGTTTTGTTCTCTCTGTCAGGTACTACTAGGGATAACCAAGTATAACTGTGTAATGGTATTGTTGTGTTCTCTCTGTCAGCTCTACTAGGGATAACCAAGCATGTTGTTAACAAGTATGACTTTTTAACCATGTACTACTAGGTAAAATTGTGATACACATGATTATAAATATTGATCTTATAGTAAAACATAGCTTTCTTCACTAAACCTACCTTACATATATGGTTATAAGTATTTCACAAGGTTCATTGATATTCCAAACACAAAATTTGTGTGTTTGGGACATGTTAATATATGAGACTATTAGAAATATATTGAAATGGATTAGTTGACTCAGTACTACTAGAAAAATTAGAATTTTATGTAGGTATAACTAATTATACTTGAAAACTAGCAAAATATAACTATGTATAAAATGGTACTACTGTATAACTTGGTGTAACTGTGAATAAAATTTTAATATTTTTTAATTGAATTGACGGGGCATGTGTTAAACATGTTTTATTTTTTTTTTATTTTTAATTTCAGACAATCAGTTCTGCTTGGTTATACCAGTAGTACGAAATCGTCGCAGTAGTACCTAGTTATACCAGTAGTACGAAATCAGTTCACTTTTCCAAAATCAGTTCAACATTTCGAAATCCTACAGACATCCAAAATGAGTACCTAAAACCAAAATGAGTTCAACATCCAACAATACAACATCCAAAATGAGTACCTAAAACCAAAATGAGTTCAACATACGAATTCAACATTCCTAGACTTGAATTAATACGAATTCATCCTAAAAAATCATTCATTTTTTCTGCCTGGTCCTTCTTCCTGCACCTTCTTCATTCCTCACCCTTTTCATCTTCTTCTTCTTCTCCGCTTCATCTTTAGCATTCTGTCTGGTCCTTTTTTTGCCATCCTCCATTTCAGCTCCTGCATCTATTGCATCTATTGTTCTCTTGTTCTTACTTTTCTCCTCTGTATACGGAGTTTTCTTAAATCTTGATGGTCTTCCTATCCTCTTTTCTACTTGGTTCGGATCTTCTTTCTTTTTCACTTCTTCTGCTTGCTCTTTCTCTTCTTCTCTATCTGCCATTTTCTTTTCTTTCTCCTCATCTTTCTCTTTCACTTCTTCTTCCTGTTCAGTCTCCTCTTCTTCTCCATCTCCCACTTTTTCCTCTTCTTTCTCTTNTTCTCCATCTGCCTTTTCTTTCTCTGTCNGGTCTTCTTCTCCATGTTCAGTCTCTTCTTCTCCATCTGCCACTTCTTGCTGATGTTCAGTCTCTTTCACTTCTTCCTGGGATATCCCTTCTTCCTGTTCTGCCGCTTTTTTCTCTTCATTTGTCTCTCCTTTCTCTTTCACTTCTTCTCATGTCTGTCTTTTCTCCATTTCTTCTTCTTCTTCATTGCTCACTTCTTCCTCTTCAACTGTCTCTTCCACTCCTGTCTCTTCTTCATCTTGCTCTTCTTCATCTTTCTCTTCATTTGACTTTCCTATCTCTACTTTTTCTGTCTCTTCTTCACCTTTCTCTTCTTCATCATCTTCTTCTTCTTTCTCTTCTTCTTCAGTGTCTCCTTTCTGTTTCTCTTTTTCTTCTCNCTGTTTTTCTATTTCTTCTCTCTGTTTCTCTTTCTCTTTTTCTTCTCCTTCTGGTTCNTTTCCTTTTCCCTTTTCTCCAGAATCATTTGCATCACACCAAGTTNCTTCATACTGATTATCGTATCCCTCAATCCCATCCCAACCTCCTTCATACTGATCTGCTAACTTAAGCTCAAGAGCTTTCACTTTTCTCCTTAGTACTCTCACCTTCTGCTTCTGCTTCTTCTCAAAATCCTTCCTCTCCGTTTTCATCTTCTTTAACTCCTCAACCAGTTTTTGGCTTAGCCTGTCTTCAACTTCTTTCAAAAGTTGAATAACATCAGAATTATCCTTAGTAGCTGGTTCCAACTCATTTTCTGTTTCTAACTCCTCAGGCAAACTAGTTCCTTCTTCTTGCGG